TGCGATCTAGCGAGAGATCTCTTCCATCCACCTTATTATTTAAGATAAATCAATTGCCAATACGCAACTCTTAAGTCTATTACATCAATCAATATCTTAAAAGCTTTTAAAAGATAATCGTGTATATTGAAACCATAGGTAAATCCAAAACTACGAAATGAACTCACTAATTACACCAGTACTATTACTTATTGCACTCAACATATAAATCATCATCCTAATAAAGAGCCAGGCTCTTGTCGGTATATAAATACAAAGGTAAAAAAATAGAGTATAAGAAATGCGATCTAGCGAGCGATCTCTTCCATCCACCTTATTATTTAAGATAAATCAATTGCCAATACGCAACTCTTAAGTCTATTACATCAATCAATATCTTAAAGGCTTTTAAAAGATAATCGTGTATATTGAAGACATAGGCACCAACTGTGCGGTTCATTGGCCACTTTCAAAGAGCATCGCTGTAACCTGCTTCGTCCAAGGATGCTCTTGCAACCTCGAAACACTTGTGAAAGGCTCGATGAGTAAACTAGCAAGTAAACCATACTACTCGTATTATATGCTAATTAGTCGATGCATTGTCTTGCTAAGTAGGCGAAATTGCTATCCAGGACCTGACTTTAATATAAATTAATAGTCAAGTAACTTGAAGAAAACGGAAAATTTTTGTAATGTAAACTAAACAATAGTTTTTTACTCTTTCTTTGGTGTAGAATTTGACTAAGTGTGGCCAATCTGCTCATTAAAGGTAACGAATAAGACAATGTCGGAGGAGAACTATGATATTTGCTGCTTATTTAGAGATGGTTATATATGATACTTTTAAATCAATATCAAGAAGTTTTTTAAATAGGTATTATTTAACCCTTAACATATAATTTTATTTATAAATTTATTTCAGTTTCCTCATTTGATTATACTTTTCTATAACAAGTTAAAGAGCGATGTTTTGTTGATTATTCTATTGGTATACATATATGTTATCGGCAATGTAGGTAATCCGGTATTCTGTACAATACCTAGGAAATGTGTATAAGAGATAAAAAAATATATTAAGTATTATATACATTGCCTAAAGAAATCAAATTTGCTAGACTATTACAATTTTTCTTCTTGAAATTACATCGAATATAATAATATTCCACTCCTGACTTAATACAAAGATGAGATAACCATTTAACTCAACAAAAGGCAATCTGTACTGACACGAATCTGTAATAACAGTCCGCCAAGTTATTGTTTGCTGTTCTTAAAGATGTTATTTATTCAGATATGTTTGAAGATGTGAACGCCCAAACCAAGTTTGTTCTCTAGATAAAAGTATTGTCGTAGGAAATATATTTCTTTCTAATCTTTAAATAATGTTACCTTTAGTTGTTATTGTATAAATAAATTAACAACGCACACACTCACCACCTACCACTAGGAAGACCCTGTATAGTGGATGCCCATGGCACACACATAGGCAACCCCAAATTACACCCAAACTCACGAGATAAATAAATGTAGGCCATTGAAATATTTCTTCTGGCCCGGGAATCGGACCCAGGACCTTCGCGTGGCAACCCAACATAGTAACTGTTCGGCCACGAAAGCAGTATATTTGCTACTTATAACTTATGTAGATAATACCTATGTCCTTTTTAGATGGCTCATACGTCCCACAGGCACGTGTTTCGTGAAGTCATATACATATATGATGCCTCTGTGCTAAATTGTAAATTTTGTACTGACCTCCAACCGCATATTTAAATTGGCAATTCTATAACTTGCACAACAATAGTCAATAGGTCTTCGCAAAACGTATAGTCGACCGCCAAATTGTTAATAGCCTGTATCGTACGAAGTAAAATTGTACGTAAATTGGAATGTTTTTTGGTAGATTAAAAATTAAGGTATTAATTAGTGACTTTTGTAACTATAGGGAGTACATCACCAGCTTACGCGCGTCCACTGCTGGACATAAGCCTCTCCTAGAGCACGCCAACTTTCCCGATCTTGTTCCGCACGCATCCAGTCACTGCCGGCCACCTTTCTCAAGTCGTCTGTCCATCTTGCCGCATGGCGCCGCTGGCGTCCCACACTACGTTTTCCTTGAGGTGGTTACCATTCCAGAACAAGTCTGCTTCATCGGCGATCAACCCTCCTGCAGACATGCCCGGCTCACTGCCACTTAAACTTATTGATTTTGCGAGCTATGTCAGTCAAACTAGGGTTCCGTACTGTCTGCAACTCTCTTTCAACTACATATCAATGATATGTTAATTCCAGGTACCTTTGCGTATGCTGATGACAGCACAGTTGTAGATAGGTACTTGACCAATGCAAGGGACAGTGGAGAGAAAATCCAGTCTTGTCGAGAATCTATGGTTAGCCGTTTGGATTTGACACTCAAGGCAGTCTCCGATTGGGGCGATGCCAGTCTTGTCAAATTTAACGCTACCAAACGCTGGCGTGTCTATTATCCACAAAACGGAGTCCCTTTGAGCTGATTCCGACTTTTCGTGATATATCCATACTGATAGGCGACTGTCTCCAGCTACTTGGAATTGACCTGGCGTCCAATTTGTACTTTGGCAGATACGTTGAATCCATGGCTAAACATGCAGCGAGGAAGCTTGGGATCCTTTCCATAGTGAGGCGTTACTTCACACCGGGACAGTTGCTTCAGCTGTAGTACTGCTACATACCAACTGGCCACCTTGGATTCAATTTTACTTTTCAAATTTAACTGCCTCTGTGGCCGAATGGTTACCATGCCGGACTGCCACGCAGAGGTCCTAGGTTCGATTCCCGGGCCGAGAGAAATATTTGTATGGCCTACATTTATTTCTCTCGTGAGTTTGGGTGTAATTTGTGTTTGTCTATGTATGTGTCCATGGCACCCGCGACACAGGGTTTCCCTAGTGCGGGGCTATGTTGAGTGTGTGCGTTATTATTATTATTATTTATATTAGAGGCAAAAAAATATTGACAACCGTGCCAAGAAGCTTATAGGTGACTCGGAATTAGTGGAGGCGAAGTTGCAGAGCCTTGAACATCGCCGTAAAGTTGCCAGCTTATCGGTATTTACAGAATATAGCACGGAGAGTGTTTTAATTCCGCTTTCCCCTTTCTGATTTCCCTGACTTGGGCTCCACCTCTATGTTGTGGATATTCCAAACATTCGCACGAAGCGTTACGCTTCCATATTTATATGGCGAACGGCTATGGCGTGGAATTCCCTGCCTGCAGACTTGTTCCCTGAACGTTATAACTTGGGCCTTTTCATGGCGAAAGTGAATAGGCATTCGTCCATCATCGACCTCATCTCATCAGGTGAGATGGAGGTCAAATGTATTGTATAAAAAAAATAAATTTTATCTTTGAAAAGTAATTTTCTGGCGTCGCCATTTTCACATACAGAATACGGAAGCGTGTGCGTGCGTACGATCGGAGCGCCTGATCGAACTGAACGGCGCGCCGATTGCACTTGTCGGCGGTGGCGGCGCGCCGGGGCGCGGCGCTCATGTCTACCCGGAAGTGCACTGACACGTTTACCCTACACACGTCTGCCCGAAAGCATTCGCATCATGTACATACTCATCATTTTCTTGTCTGTAACAGACACGAAATATTTTCGTGGCTAGATCCGACAAAATTCTTGTCGTGTACAAGGCCATTCTCGTCTTTTCTGTTGCAGACACGACGAATTTCTTAGCGTGTACACATAACATCTCAATCAGTTATGACCGTGAGACCTGTAAAGCCCGAAACATTGGTTTGCATGTGGTCTAAAAAGTAATAAAGCTCTTTAATAAACGAGGCTAAGGGTAATAGGCAATGGAGTTATAAAAATAATACGACTAGTTATGTAACCCAACGCGGTTCTAATGTGGCCTTCAACAACTTTTACCCCAGTTGGACATTTTACATCTCAGCTGCTAGGTAAATGTGGGCGACCTTTGATATAACTTACGATGCTTGTACTCAGGAATAGGTGCGGCACACCTGCCTATAAGTAAACTGCCGTTATGATATTTAATATCATTTTTGTGCTTGTAATTTCAACAAAACCGGAACGCAGTAATGCTCTCATTGCTGCTTGGCGGTAGAAATAGATAAAGTGGCAGTACTTCCCTAGACGAACTACTTGACAAGGAGTCCTACTGCTACGTTATAAATAATAATATAATTGCTTTTGAACAAAACTTATTTGTAACAAATACATATTTAATTGTAAATCATTTTTGCCCTCGATTTTGGGCGTTAATAGGTTTTTAACATGATTTAAATCCGACGTTCACAAAAGCGCCAGATTAAAAGTTAAAACCCGGGCGTAAGTCCTTAATTGCAAAATTATGACGATAATTATTAATACAAAAATGGAACACAGAGAAAAATTCCATCGATCCGGCAAGAATCGAACCAGCGACCTCGCCATACCGTAGCTGACGCTATCCCAACTGAGCTACGGAACGAACAAGCTGAACTTCTCTATGTTCTTATTGCAGATCAATTGTTTTTGGTTTTAACGACTTTTATGCCATGGTATTAAAACATCGTAATTTTCAATAAAATCAATATTAAAGTTATGACGATTTATTTTTCGTATTGAGCCAGAATTCACAAACACAACACACACAATTCACAAACGTCAACACAACACAAATGTTAACAAACTAGTTCAGAAACGGCATGAAAATCAAACTATTCCTAAATACCGCTAAACTAAACAGTGTAACCAGTTTTCTATCATTTTACATACTTTGAATAAATATTTGATGTAGTGCACCTGATGTGTAAGTAGGCGACACACATAGCAATGTTGGCGGAGAAACCATATGCTTGTGCGCATAACAATATTATACTTTAAGCAATATACCTAGTTAGAAATGTAATTCAAAGTGTTGTTTACGAAACAATAAAGTATATATTATTATCAAGTACCTACATATCGTCAAAATGCAAATATTGTTTAAAAAAAACAATGATTAACCTACTCTTTTCTGTCTTTCCAGAATGCCAGTTACGTGATCAACCGACGGTATTCTAAAGGCAAAATGTCACCAGTATGCCATAATTTTGTTCAGAACGCGTGGAAGAAGGATTTCTGCTCAAACTGCTTCAAGTCTCGCGAGGAACATGCCAAGCAGGAACGGACCACAGAGGGTGCAAAATACCTCGCCACGCCGTTCCAGAACAGAAGCAATTTCTTCAAGAAAACACCACCAAGTATCTTAAAATCGAATCCAAAAAAGAAGAATAAACGAAACGTACGATTTCCCGCAGAAGTATGCAGCGTTATTGGCTTTGGAGGCGATGACTGGTCTGATGGAGAAGAATTTGAGGTCTCAGAGGATAATGATGACGAAGATCCTTTCCCAGATACAGAGGAGGAAAGAGAACTTCACAAGATTACTAAGTCTAACACTGACTTTAATACTGTTAAAGCCAATCTATTGGGAGACTCAGTAGCTAAGTCTTACACTTCATTGCTTCTAGGCAAGGTGCAAACAGATTCTGCCGGAAAGAAAAAAACATTAATGGTATCAGTAACTCCATTTGGCTCAGATAACAAGAGTCCTACAGCAAAATCGCATATGCGGAGTACTGCCGCTGTTAACATGTCAGATACATCAACAGAAGACAATTCGTGCTACAAAACTAACATCATATTATCAACTCACATTAAAGAGTCTGAAACTATTATTAGTTCTGAAGGTGTAAATACGGATGGCATCTGTACAGAAAAGTCCTTATTGGAAGAGATATCAGAGACCCTTAAACAAAACAGAATTACTAATACTTCCGATTTAAATTTTACTCAGTCAGACAGCGATAAGCCTACAGTAGTGGAAGGGAAAATGAAGGAAAGCATGTCAGACGACTTCGACAAAAAAGATATGACTGAAACTAAAAAGAACAGTCTTGCAAGAAAGTCACCCGTGCCTAAAACACAAGAAAGACCTAAAGTAAACCTCAGCAGACCAGAGTTCAAATTCTGTAAAATAAACATTGAAAGTAGCAGTGTAGATTCTGCAGTTGGTACTCTCAATTCAACCGCAAACAATTCCTTGGCTTCAGACGACGAAAGCGTCAGTGGTCGCACTGATTCAGACAATGATGATAGTGGCCACTTTTCAGAGAGCCCTAAATGTGACGAAACTGTTAAAATTAAAGTATTCAATGAAGGTGATAAGAATATTAAAATGTCGCCTATCAGCCAGCTCAGAAAAGCTGATGGACAGGCAAATACTGGTTATACAACATTCCAGGCGCCGATCATTGATATGCCTGCAATTATACCCAAGCCCCTAGGACATATATTCTCTGCAGAAGCTAGTCGAGAACTTGCCGGTGAACCAGATGGTAGAGCAGACCCCGACGAACCCACTGAAGCACCAGCTCTGCCAAAAAGTCCTGTCCCTACCATGGACCCTCGTCCTTCATTTTTACATGGCATGATTAGTGATATCATTCCAACATCCAAACCCGCTGTGCCTGAAAAACCGAAGATACCAGTAAAACCTGTCATTAAACAAACAACAAAGAAAAGTGTCTTGGCTCACCAACATCATACAGTAATGCATTTACAGATATCGAAAAAAGAGGATGATGAAAGCGCTAGATGTCTGAGTGAAGAGAAAAACAATGAAATCACTGAAGTTCAAGAAGATAAACCGGAACCTATTTACTACGCTAAACCAGTGCTAACGAAGCAAGACAGCGACACATCCTTACATAGCCTCACCAAACGAAAAGCTCCTACACCACCGTCATCACCTACCGTGGAAGAATACTCGAACAATATTTACCAAAGAAATCCAAGCGGATTCATGAAATCTGATTCACCAGTCGTGAGAGAAATGGAAAAAAGGGAAAGAGCTACATTGGGATCTGTACCCAAACCACGGTCTGTTGAAGAGCCCGTACAAAATAAAAAGGTTGAAGTAACCCCAGAGCCAGCTCCGCGACGAAATATTTCGCTTTCGCACGATAACTTACTTATTGATGAGAAGCGTAAAGGTAAATACAAATTCTCTATAAAAAAATTACTTCGCATAGGATCGTCTAAGGACCTGGATAAGAAAGAATTAAGTATTCCTAGTCCCGTCAAAGTGTCAAATAAGCCTGAGGAGCTTTACGATTATGCGCCAAAACCAAAACCACGTCTTGTTATCATTCATCCTTTGGACATAAATGGGTCAAACGTCGAAGTGGTGAAACCAAATGAGATTACAGAGCTGCGGCGTTTAAGTCATGATGACGCATCGTCAGTTTACAGTGGCAACAGTTCTACAACCGAAAGTGAAATTATGAAGATTGTGAACAAACCTCCTCCGCCACCAAGACAGCTGAGTGATGACTCCAAAACTGTATCCCCGACTCCAAAACCAGCTCGTCCACCGCCACCAAAATCGGTTGCTTTACAAAAAAAACAGAAACAACAAACTTGGGCAACACCACAGAACAAGATTGACAATATTTATGCAAACTTAGGTAAATATTACAAAATAATGTATGAATTTTCCACTTACATTTTTTTAAACATAAACACTAATTAATCAACATTTTTCATACATTTCAGGTGAAATCCGATCAGCACTTGCTCCAAGAAAACCAGAACGAACAGCAAGTATGCGCGAACGAGAAGCACGTTTAGAACTGCCTAAACGTAGAAACGCCATAGACGACGACAAAGACGAAGTTGACGACGAACCAGAAGAATTGGTACAAGCTACTAACGAGACAGTCATACATAATTACGATGATGTTTATAACTCTAACAAGTATGAAGAGGAAACTTGTGATTCGGCTAAAAACAGTGACAGTGACTATGAGTACGTTCACCACGCAAGGTCAAGTTCCCCGGAATGCGATTCATCTATTAAGCCTAGAGAAAACACACAAGGAGTTGAAGTACGCAAAAGCGATGGAGAACACGGCACTGACTTCTCTAAATATGGCAACGGAGTCTTCAACAGATCATCTATTCCTTATTGTGGTAGCGAAACAGAGTCCGAGATTTATTCTCCATACAGTTTTTACAGTTCAACAGATGCTATTGACAGCCCCACAAATGATGATTACCAAAATGACTTGACTCCAAAGGCAACAACAAATAAGCTAAGAGTACGGAAGGGAAGGAGCGTAGTTCACAGAAACTTGGAAGATAATTACGGTGCAGTTGTTATTGCGAACCATGAAGCACTCGCGCAAGTCTTAGAACAGGTAATTTGAGTTTCTTATCTCTGAAACATCTACCACACCCAACACTTCTCAGAAACAATGTACCTACGTAAACCTATAATTTAGCAAGAACATGATACGTATAATATTTCCGCTGACAGTTAAATACAATATTTCTATACATATTCTCATAAATTGTATTGTTATCTACCCATAAAATATGAAAAGAAACGTATTGTTATGTCCAAAATTGCTAAGTAACTGTAAATGTGAATAATGAATATAATTGTTATTTAACAGGTCCAACAAAGTGCCACCATGCAGCCATCCCTCAGAGGTCTTAAAGCGTGCACCAATCTCCGATGGAATGATTTCGCCGTTCAGCCATCTAAGAACTTCATAAAGGCTGGGAAGCGATTCTTCTACCCAGCAATCTGGAACTCCAACCAAGGCCCTGTGAATGTTACTTTGATGCTTTACAAGGAGCAAATGGCATCGCAAATGATTTGCCAGCAATCAGTGCAACCTCAATTAAGCCTGAACGCTATTACGGAGTTTTGCGATCTGGTGCCACTGCAGCAATTTGGGGAGGAAGGAGAAGATTTAGTTCAAGGTGAATATCTGAAATTAAATCAAAGTTATAATCAAATATTAATAAATTTTTTCAATAATATTTCAAGCGATAGGTTTCTTTTATAGTACAATTTTACACAAAAAAATTGCACTAAGTCAAGGTATGATTTTGTTCAGAGTCCTCGTCGTAGTTCCCTTTAAATCAATATGTTTTTGTGTTCTCTGTTTCAGCTACTATCGTAGTTTTGGCGCAAGCTCAAGTCGACACCATCCAGTCCTACGGGGAGAATCTTCATGCTACCGAAGGCCTTACCACGAAAGAGTACCAATTGGTCCAAACAGAGCAAATTCATGAGGCCATATTCATGATGCTACAAGTCATAAACGGGCTCAAATGTTTGCAAGCCCGAGGAATGGAGGAAATTCCTGAAAGTTTGACGTCATTCATTGCTTTAAAGGAGATTCAGCCAATAGCGACCCACGGAAGTGCGTTGACTCTGCCATCTCCAGACGACAGACTGAACTCATTGTGGGCGCCAAAGACCAATTCTTATGGGAGACTTTGCATATTGCAGGGGTAAGTAAAATATTTATTTTAGAAAACAAAGAAGACTTTTAATACTAATTATACAATTAAACATAATTATAAGTTTTTACCTGATTACATTTTAAAACCAAAAATAACCAGGAAAGTTACTTATTTAAAAGTAGAGAAATATCTCATGAATATATTACGTAACTATTTGAATGGTGATGATGAATATTCTATTTCTGTTACAGATTGAGCGAAGAAATCAACTGCAACAAATCAGCAGAGGACGAGCATTTCAATTCTTTATGTAAATGTGCTATCAAGGCGTTGGAGATTCTCCTACCTGGGGAGAAACTGACACCTCTTCTTAAAGAGCTATTGGACCACGAACGGGCGATATCTTTGAATCAGGCGAAATCAGTACTGGAGTTCATGCTTTGGGGACCGCTGGACATCGTCCAGGGAGTACCAGTTCAAGAAAGGGAATTGTCTCTACAAAGATGGCTAGACCTTGAACGAGCAACTGTGCTTCATGGACTGGTGAGGACAAGAGTCCAGCTAAATGTCTTCGAACAATTGCATCTTATGTTTTTAGTACGCTCAACTGCTAAGGCCATGTGTGACGCGTCTGTGTTATTGGAAAAAGCTAATGTTTATTAATCTCTGTAAATTTTGAATAAGCTTTACTTTGGGAGCCTCGATTTCCGTCTATTTAATTAAATGGTAACCCTATTTAAAAAAATGTTAATTTGTAAGTTGTTGCCATTACAAAGTCGCATTTATATATTCTTTTTTTATTTTTTAAATCTGGAAACAGACAACCTGAGCCAACAAAACATTAAGAGAGGCATCCCATTATTTCTAAGTATTTAGTTTAGTAGGCACCCGAAAGACTTTTTATATTTATATTGTATTTTTAACATTACAGATTACTTAACAAAAATTTATAAATAATGTCGATTGCTCTGCTCACAATTTCATCTAATTTGACTGGATTTAAAATCGTTTCCCTTTCTATTACATAAGTAATTAAAGAGAATGATACTTAATCATTTTAGATCGACCGGAATAGTTTTGGAATTATGTGCAGTAGAAATAGGCTAGGCGTAAGAAATATATCAATGACACTAACATTGTTTTGGGGCAGGTTTCAAAATTATTATTTTTTAAAGTAAACTTCACCGTGCCGCAAAAGTAAGTTAAGAGCCGTTTTGTGCGCTTCAAAGTAACGTTTAAACCCTGTAGTCTATGTTTCTTTATGTACCATAATATAACGTTGTTTGCCCAGCAAAAAGTTATTTAGTAGCCTTAACAAAGCAATATTTTCCCTCTCATTGCAACAATACTGTATAAATAGATCAACAGACAATCAGAAAAACCAAATAATAAAATATAACAATAATAAATTTAAGGAATCTTTTTAGTTTAAAAAAAATTATTCAATGTTAATTTTGTAATAAAACTTCAATATGAATTATATTTTGCGTCAATCTATCTGGGTTTTGCAACGATCAGTACATTATTTTTCTAGGATTTTAACGTTTAAATATCGCAGTGTGAGTACAATAGTGTATTAACTCGAAAAAGTGTACTTTTTTATCAGAATTTATGAAAGACTACTTAATTAAATTTATATATAGGTGAAAGTTTATTGCAGATATGTAAACAATTTCCTACTTGTCAAATATATTTGAAAATAAAAGGAAAAAATATTTTCATATTCTTGTGCAAGGACTAGTTCACAAAAATTTTGTCTCATTTTGTATTAAGCAGCTTTTGTATTAACGACGGCTTAATTAACGTGTAGAGAATCAAATTTTACGTTTAGCAATAGTGTAATCTTGAATTTCACATATTTTGAGTTATAACACTATTGTAATAGCAGTGCAATATGTTACCTTACTGACGACGAATGGTACTGTCATAACGTAGTCAGTCAGAGAACCAAAAATGTGTTGTTTTTACATTTAAAGAATAGACTACAGGTTTTTAATTTAGGACTGAAATCAATTTACTCAGTATATACGATCCGGTGCCTTAATAAGTGTATAATACACTTTGTAAATTACACATTACGTTATAATTTATATTAAATTTTAATATTATTCTGTATTTAGAACTTTGGTTCAACATTTTATATTTAAGGATGATTCATCGAATAATATAAATACAGATTTTTTAATTGACTTAGTTGTTTCATTTGAATACGATAAGGCTCAATTTGGAGGAGTGGAAGCGAATTTTTGTACCTATATTATTGTACCTATAGCCTATACCTTCTCTTCTTCAATAATACTCATTTGAAACTTAAATCTTCTGGTTTATTGATTCAGGAAGTGGATTGTACTATTCCATAAAACTTATTTCTATGTCCATCTGACTTATCGAATATCAAACGCGACTGAACATGATTACAACTAAATTACGAATGAGACAATGACATTAATTTCCATTTATATTTGTACCGATACGGTGTCTCCCACACTGTACTGGATGGTCCTATCAATTCACCGCGGTCGCGACTCGGCCAATCAGAGCTCCTGAATTACTCATTAATGCTCTGACCGTCTGTCCGTAACATATATTGTACATAGCATAATGAACTTTATGGTTAATTGTGTAACGTGCAAACTAGGATATGAAGTATATGTGATTTTCGTCGGCGACGCCTGGCGAACCCGCGGGATGTGAAACGAAGGCGTAGTGTGATGCCAAACGTCGATGAAATACTACAGCCCCAAGGCGCAGTCGCGCAACGAGGCAAAACTGATGCTTCCATGCCATTCCTAAAACTTTTTGTAACTGTTATGGACAAGCGTGTCGCTCACCACTCAGCCACACGACTTGCTCGTCTCGTCACTTGACATCATAAAAAAATACTTTCAGAAACTTTTATCGCGAAATTAAACTACTTTGTACATTAACAGTATTGGTTTCAAATGCGATATATGTGATAGGCGGTTAATACTTTGAACGCTATGCACTAAGAATATTTCGTGTTCTGTTGGCGCTACTCTTAGCAAAACTTTTCTAATACGACTTTCGTTACTAAGGCTCAATTAATAAGAACACATTTATTGCATAACTGTAGATAATTACATAAGGTCTTAAAATATTACATGGTTCGTGCTCTATAGTCTACCAGATAAGGTGAACAATATTAAATGTCATAGATTAATATTAAAGAAAAGACCTCATAGTCATAGTTCCACCGCAATATAAATTGAACCCGAGTACTCATAATACAGGGAATGCCCTAGTTTAAGAACAGGTAATTTGTGTGATTATCTGGCTCAAATTATTATTTTATTAATAAAAATCCAAAATAATTTCAATATAATATATTGTCTCAGTTTAACACAACAACAATTTGCTAAATGGCTAACATAGCTAAATTCTTAGCAATCTTATGGAGATATTTACTCTTTAGAATGTACTAGGTTTGTATAAATTTCGTTCATCCAACTAATCACACGTTATAAATACTTTTTTAATATTCGAAATTGGAACTAGCTTATAATATCTTATTAATTGCTGGGAAATGAACGAAATTCAAACAAACCAATCATTTATCATTATTGATGAATAAAGTCACATGATTGGTCACTTTGAATCAATCATATTTTTAACGCAAATTAACTACATGCCAAAGTATAAGAAAACACATTTTTATAATACAGGGTTATAAAATACAAACAACCTCATGACTTTTTATAAAACAATAAATTTACCAAAAATAATTTTTTACGTTTTTGTTGTACTATCTGACACTTTTTAGATCTGTATCTGATAGTAAGTTCAAACGTGCAAGCGTCTTCTGCTGTAACTCAGAAGAATTATCACCATTTAGAGCGATCTATACAAATATATTTTTGTATGAAAGTAAAATCCGATTATTATGAAAGGTGATGGAACATTGTTGTTTATGAAATTAGTAGTATAGTTCTGCGAGGTTATTAGCATTTTACAAATAACTCTGTATAAGTAAGTTACCTATCTTACTTCACTACCATTTCGTCGCCTTTTTTTCTCAAACTCTTATCTTAAAGTTTAAAAATTAAATATGGTGCTGCTGGCACGATCAATCAGTGCGTTAAGAAAACTTGTTAACGTCTATGAGAGATATGCGGACGCTCATAGGCTGAGATATAACCCCACTAAAAGTGAAGTTATGGTATTCAAAGCGGGTAGAAAGTGTCCGGTAGATGTTCCACCTATTAGGTTAAATGGCAAAGTTCTAAATAGGGTTGATCATTTTAAGTACTTAGGTCACATTGTAACATCGGATCTAAGAAATGATATGGATATTGATAGAGAGCGGAGAGAGTTGGCGTTGCGAGGGAACATGCTTGCTCGCAGGTTTGCTCGGTGTACAGACACTGTAAAAATCGCGCTTTAAGCATCCTTCGTGTTCAATATAATAATGCTTTTAGAATGCTGATGGAACTGCCACGTTTCTGCAGCGCATCGGCAATGTTCGCGGAGGATAACACAGATGGTTTCTATGCCATTTTACGCAAGAGGATGTCATCTTTAATGCATCGCGCAACATGCGGCTCCAATGGCTTTCTAAAAATATTATCAGACAGACATGACTGTCGAATATGGAAACACTGTCTGAAGCTGACTGGAAGGTCAACCCCTTAAAGACCGGTACAGTAGTTGTTGTGTGTGTAGTTTCAAAGTAATATAGGTAGACTAGCATTAGTTAATAAGTGTTTGTATAACTAACAAATGATATGGATTTTTGATTACCTGAAATAAATTATTATTATCAAAACACAAAGTCACTGAAACTCAAAAATTGATTATATATACAAATTATGCAGTATTTTCTTCATATTTACACACTAGGTTTCACCTATTCTTAAAGTAATGCATATAAATTAACACCCTTGATAAGAAATTTAAAATAAATAAAAAGTTTTGCCATCTCCTGATTAAATACTCTTTATAAGATACGAGTTTGAGAAAGTAAGGCACCGATTTGTAGTTCCTATATCAATACAAGTGACAAATTACCAGTTTAAAACTGCTAACATTTTAAGTACCATAATGATATTTAAAATACAAAACAACTTCCACAAGATTCTCATGAACTGCAAAACATTGCTAGGTCGTGGCCATCTATTCTGTTACACATCTTTTATATAATATACATACTAATATGACAGTTCTTCCTAAATTGTCATTCTTAGTCCTTTCTGTAAGAAGGAATAATACGGAAGCTTTTTATAATAGAAACATACGATTTAGGAAACGTTTAAACTGACGCATATACATATCTCGATTTGTCCAGGCTAATTCTGCGTATGGTTTGAATTTGAACTCGCAAAGAGAAGCCACAGACAAAATTAACCTCAGATGGCGCCTCCGCCGCCCTTCCTTAATGTAACCGATATATCGATGGGTTCTATGTATAAGGGTGTCGTTTTCATATAACCTCCAAAAATGTATCCCTTTCAATAACTTTTACGTTACTATATGAATGCTAAGCATTATTTATTAAATATGATTGCTTGCTTCCTTAGTCTGTGTTACACATAAAAAGACTACTTTACTACGGTACAGTAATAAACAGAAATTTAAAAAGTGGGCAATTTCTCACTCATGGGAGCCGGTTCCACGTCGCCCTAATTTTAAGAAAAAAAGAAAAAAGATTAAATACTCATGGAAATCGTAATATTTCTCATCGAGGATAAACTCTAATAACTTACACGTCGAATACATACCGTAACTTTCCAATTTATTATAAACAAATATGTTTTCTTGGGAATACAAAATGTGTTTCAATTTCTCTTATCATTCGTGTCAATTCAACTAAAAGCTTCCTAATAACAAAAGTTCATACCGCATCACCTTCACCCTTCGCACACGTGAGAAGGGGCTCCTGTCGGATTGGAGTGTACACAGTGAAGTAAGCTGTGCATCTCCGTTTTAGCAAAAAATCGACTTAAATACAAATTTCAGCGCTAGTGACTGCATCGTTCTCATTCATGTAAGGCAATGTATCTAAATAAGTATTAAGTAATAGTTTTATAAACTTTATTGTACATCAATTAGACTAAGGGAACTTTAAAATCCATGCACTTTTATAACGGTCCAGCATACTTTACACACTTGACAATTAAAAATGTACCCAAATATCATTATTGTCGCTCTCATTCTTGTCTACTTTTAAGTCAAATCATTAAGTCAAGTTTAAGCCAAGCATTTACTTGAATTATAACAATTAGATGGTGATAGTGTGGTGATGACGGTGGTGAGGATAATGATGGTGGAGATGATGATTGTAGTGATGATGGCGATGATTGTGATGATGATGTAAATGGTAATGATGCTGATGATAATGGTGATCATGATGATGATGTTGATGGTGGTGATGATGATATGTTGATGTATAACAAAATTTATATGACATTAACAAAATACTTATTTAGATTTATTTATTAAATATATATAGATAGATGGTCTTACACGGATGAGAAAGATTTTGATATAAGTCATATTAAAATATTTGTTACATGTCAAACGTTGTTAAATGTTCTTTTGTGACCGATAAAATGTGTGTTGTAATAATAATTTCTCATTACTTTGCCGTCTTTCTCATTTATGTTTATGAGAAAATCATTCGTGTTACAGCAATCTCATTCGTGTGACCTAAAATATCGTTTTATTGTATTTAACTTAAATATTTCTGTGATTTTATAATTATTGACATTGCTTGATCTTATTTGTACGTTTAAGACCTTAAAACCAAAAGAAAAGAAAAAAGGGGTTTCACAAAAATCACTCAAAAAGTGCCATTGAAATTCACCCAAATGCCGAAGCGCAAAATCACAATTTTACAGTAGAGGCTTCCAAACTTTCAATCTGGTATATTTTCAAGATTTCCTTGTATTTCGAGGTTTCCTTGAATATGTTTGATTTTGTTTTATCGTTACCTTATGGATTATAATGCAATGAAGCATTTCCCACAAAGAAGTGAAAATTATCAAATTGTTAGTTTGGCCCTTATATTTAGGATCCATCGATATCTGCTCTCGCCATCAAGTCCTCAAGTTTAAAGTAATAACCACTACTTCAAACTTAATGAGTTTTATGGTGACACTACATAACCACCATAAAAAAATGGGCGTAGTATCCTTTTTTTTAATACGTTAATTTTTCATAATGAAACGGCAAAATTGAATGCGCAGATGCATTTTAGATCTCTTTGGTGGTAGTGTGTGGCGGGCGGGGAGTATCGTATCGAGCGCGCGATTGTTAGATGAGTCGGCCACTACCGTACGCGTCCCGCACTGCGTCTACGTCCCGCTGAAATCACGGATACAGTCGCGCGCATTAAGCTGTATCCTTTACATATTTTGCACGAAACTGTACGTGCGCCGACTTTCCCCTACTATGCCACTTTTTGCTCAAGATGTTTGCTGGTTTCTGTACATAGATGCATAACTTTGTTAGCAGTATGTCAATTATCCTGTTTTTTTTTAAACAAAAATGCTTGGAGTTTGATACTCCAGCAACATCCGCGATCATGCGACACCTGGCGGGATAAAGAGTAGGTGTGTTTCTCAATTGCTTAAAAGTTGACAAAATTGTTAAAGTTCAATTTAACTGCAATTTTTGAAGTAGTAATCGACCCGGATTATTATGAAGCGGAAAAATAAAATGCGTACAATTAAAATAATTAATGGTGTAACTTTCTCCACTTTCAAGTTAACTCCATATTATTATTGTCATGTAATACGCAAGGAATAGGAAATCAGTTTCTTTATCCTTTTCCTATAAAATTTGTCATATTAGTGTATATCAAGAAATGTATTAACCAAAATAAACTTTAATAATTGACATTAAATGTGATTTCACAACAAGAGTGCCACTATATTACATGTATTTAAAAAAAGACTTTGTTTTGAACGTGATCTAATTAAAAATCATTAAGACTAGAGATGATTCTCGCTACGCTTTTTTGTCTTTATCTTTCGATAATAATACTAATATTAAAAAATAAAAGCGAACAATGTTTTGGAATGTTTTACCATAATAGTTACAATTACCAATTTATGTAACAGATATTCGACCTGCTTATTCGGCTACGAATGCATGGGCGTCATCACTAGCGCCACCTAGCGGATACCCAACCAAACACCAACAATAACCGCAAACAACCGCTTTATTTGCATATTTTTCCGCAGAGGGCGGTGTAATCATTTCATATTGATGCATAGCACGGCAAATGGCACGTGTAAGAGACTTACATTACATATATTGTAGAATACTAAATGACTAACATATTTTAAACATTTTACAGAGGGTGCTCACTCAATGTACACACACGTATTTATATTTAACTCCGTCATCATTAGCGCCACCTAGTGGACACCAAACAAAACACACCAACAACAGGAAATAACCGCTTTGTTTGCATATTTTTCCGCTAGGGCGCTGCGATCGTTTCAGCTTGATGCAAAGCACGGAAAATGGCACGTGTAAGAGCTTACATGATTTATATTTAACTCTATGGCGCTTATAATAAGACAGTCTAAACTTCAAGGTTTATAGACCCTGTGTGCTGTTATACAGTACCATTGCATCCAGCCAATACCAACATTACTCATATTTCAAGATTAACAGTCAAAATTAAACTATTACTAAAGTATTCAGAGATTGCTATTTTGTCGTTATTAGATAGACAAACTTATCCGTGACACGAGTCGTGGCGCAAGCGACTACCCCGTACAGCTCAAGTAGCGTGGTAGCGTCAGCATTTTTTACTGTCATATTACAGATAAATTTATTGATCTGTCCCCGTAGCACAGCCACCGCGATAGTGACATAATATA